TAACATTTTTTGTAACCAACTGATGTGCAATACTATTTTTTTAGATTAAAGTTTGAATTCTGAGATTAAAGTCAGAATGACTGGCAGAATGTTCTAGGTTTTAAACCAGAGCAGATTAAAGACTCTCAAGATTGTAAAACATTGGGTGGACTAGACTTTTAGCCATTTACTGAATCGGAAGCTACATTCAGACGCCAACTTTAGCTTTGTATACAAAACAAAGTCAGAGTTTAAGGCTTTCAGTGTGATCATGATCAAATTAATTGCATGTGGCTTTGGACGAGTGTACAAAAACAGGTCTCTATATAATGTGCAGGACAGAGAGAACTTCCGGGTCAAACCACTTGTTAAAAATGAAATCGTGTAAATTGAAATTGAGCGTTCATTATCTGTTTTTTCCATTTTCGTTTTATGCACTAAATCAGAAATTGGTTAACGACTCGTTATCCAATTTTTAATTTTGATTTAATAAATGAAAAATTTAAAAACAAGTTTTTTCACTTCAAACGAAAAAACGAACTGCCTGAAAATACACGGACCTGGAGGGAGGCTTGATGGTGTGCTTTTGTTTTTTTTCGGACAGCTGGCTCCACCAGAATTCTCACAGCATCGCACAGTTCATGAAAAGTTGTCTGTAATTCAAACATGTTTAATCCTCAGCTCTTAAGTAAAATCGGCAACTACAATTTCCCCAAAAGGCCGCATGCATAGCCGCTCTCAAATATAAGGGACTTGTTGCTCCAAAGCCTGAATAAGACGCTGATGACTGATAATTGGCTGAATTCTGAATATATCTCATGTAACTGTTTTCATACATTGCTGACATCATTTTTAATGACTTATCGTGTAAACAATAAGTCATTAAAGTGATTTTTATTTAATTTCTTATTTAATGGAAACACTGTAATTGCAAAGCTGTGACATTAGCAGAATGTAAGCAAAGATTTGTGCACATTTGTAATGAGAACGCAGCTACAGTAAAACAGGCTGGGGATGACTGCTGTCTGCTCTGTGGTGAGAAGTGATATTTACCTGGGAGTTGACCGTTTGGCCCATGGGGATGCGGGAACATTCCAGTGCATACTGCTTTACACAAAAGTAACACCCCTGGGAGAATAACAGTATAGCACAAGGTTGTGATTAGCAAAATGTTTGAATGGAGAATAGAGTCCCAGTACAGGAAGAACATTCAGGTGGATACTGAACTCATCTAGAAGTCTGCAACATGAAAAATGCTTAAAGATTATAGCTAAATTGATTATGCAACGGTTTATTGTTTAGCAAATTTTAGCTTTGCAAGACAATTTTTCTATTCTAATGACTGAATTATTAAATTATTAAACAAAAAGGACTGATAATCAATGTCTCACCTGAAAAGCCAGTTCCATCAACACGATCCCACCCGGCAGCGCTCTCTGGAGGTGATATGAAGTCGTGCCAGATCCTGAAGTCTGCAAATTACAGTCATGGCCAAAAGTTTTGAGAATGACACAAATATTATATTTTCACATGATCTGCTGCCCTCTGGTTTTCATGTGTCAGATGTTTTCATCACATACAGAAATACAATTGCAATCATATTGAGTAACAAAAGCTTTTATTGACAGAATGAGTTAATGCAGCAAGTCAATATTTGCAGTGTTGACCCCTTTTCTTCAGGACCTCTGCAGTTCTCCCTGGCATGCTCTCGATCAACTTCTGGACCAAATCCTGACTGATAGCAGTCCATTATTGCACAATCAATGCTTGCATTTTGTCAGAATTCCTAGGTTTTTGTTTGTCCACCCGTCTCTTGATGATTGACCACAAGTTTTCAATGGATCTGGGGAGTTTCCAGGCCATGGACCCAAAATCTCTATGTTTTGTTCCCTGAGCCAGTTAGTTATCACCTTTGCTTTATGGCAAGGTGCTCCATCATGCTGGAAAAGGCATTGTTCATCACCAAACTGCTCTTGGACGGTTGGGAGAAGTTGCTCTCGGAGGACATTCTGGTACCATTCTTTATTCATGGCTGTGTTTTTAGGCAAGACTGTGAGAGAGCCGACTCCCTTGGCTGAGAAGCAACCCCACACATGAATGGTTTCAGGATGCTTTACAGTTGGCATGAGACAAGACTGGTGGCAGCGCTCGCCTCGTCTTCTCAGAACAAGCTGTTTTCCAGATGTCCCAAACAATCGGAAAAGGGATTCATCAGAGGAAATGACTTTACCCCAGTCCTCAGCAGTCCACTTCCTGTACCTTTCGCAGAATATCAATCTGTCCCTGATGGTTTTCCTGGAGAGAAGTGGCTTCTTTGCTGCCCTCCTAGAGAACAGGCCTTGCTCCATGAGTCTTTGCCTCACAGTGCATGCAGATGCACTCACACCTGCCTGCTGCCATTCCTGAGCAAGCTCTGCACTGCTGGTAGCCCGATCCCGCAGCTGAAACACTTTTAAGAGACGGTCCTGGCGCTTGCTGGTCTTTCTTGGCGCCCTGGAGCCTTTTTGGCAACAATGGAGCCTCTCTCCTTGAAGTTCTTGATGATGCGATAGATTGTTGACTGAGGTGAATCTTTCTAGCTGCTCTTCCCTGTTAGGCCATTTTTGTGCAGTGCAATGATGACTGCACGTGTTTCTTTAGAGATAACCATGGTTCACAGAAGAGAAACAATGATGCCAAGCACCAGCCTCTTTTTAAAGTGTCCAGTGGTGTCATTCTTACTTAATCATGACAGATTGATCTCCAGCCCTGTCCTCATCAACACCCACACCTGTGTTAATGGAGCAATCACTGAAACGATGTTAGCTGGTCCTTTTAAGGCAGGGCTGCAATGAAGTTGAAATGTGTTTTGGGGGATAAGGTTCATTTTCTAGGCGAATATTGACTTTGCGATTAATTGCTGTTAAGCTGATCACTCTTTATAACATTCTGGAGTATATGCAAGTTGCCATTATAAAAACTGAAGCAGTAGACTTTGTAAATATTAACATTTGAATCATTCTCAAAACTTTTGGCCATGACTGTAGATTCCAGAAACAGTCTTACATTCTCTACCAGAATATATTTCTATGATATGCATGTGCTTAATTCAGAATTGTTGACTTTTTAAAATACCCTGGTGTTAATACATCAATCACCTGTCTCTTAAATTATCCTTAAAATATTTAAGATCCTGAGTTTCCCCAGTGTATCATAAGCCACCAGCATTTACTTTACCACCACCACCAGCAGGCGAAGCAGGTGAAGTGTCTTGTTCAAAAACACAACTAAGGAGGCGGCCGATTGTGGGATGAACTCTTAGAACCGTTGCCATCATCGTGCAGAAAGTTGTGGGTTCAATTCCATATGCTCCTGGAAAAGCTATTTAAAGGCCTCATCTCTCCCCAATGAACTTTTTCAATGTTCTGTGTATGTTGTTTTGTGGCATAATTTTCCATATATTAAAAGGAAAAGCATTTTTAACTCACCACATAAAGAGATAGTATATTTTTGAAAAACTTCAAAAACATTGACAGTGAGATTGCAGCAGCACACAGGAATAAACCTTAATTTCTAAGTTTGTTTCCAATGTATGTGTTTGTTTACAAACAAGTTTTGCATTTGCCAGTTGAATATTAACCTTAGGGTTGTCTTCACTCTTCTGCTTGACATAAGAAAAGGACATCCTTCCTTCCAACGACACGGAGCTCAGCATGGCGGCACGCGCTCTGGCAATACTTTCAGAGAGATGAGAGATTAGTGGGTAGAGCACAAAGGTTATAAACCTGCGTTTAAATTGAAAGTGGGCGATGCTTTTTAACCAATAAGATTAGTTGGTCAAAGGTTGCCAGAATCCATTAAAAGGGGAACCTAGAAGAACCTATTCTTGCAATCACTCACCTGCGAGCGGGGGATGGAGGCCGGACCTGGACTAGAATGAAGCCCATGCTCTGCAGGTACTGGATGTACTGCTGAAGGAAGTTGTTAGAAATCTCAAGCAGCCATGGCTCCTCTTTTATTCGGCTTGGAAGCATGTCGGCTGAATCGGTGCTGTAGCTTCGGTCTCGACCCGACGATGTGGAGTCACTGGAGCGATGCCTTTTCTGGAAATATGTTGATAAAATAAATGGGTTCCACAGACTTTGGTGAAAACGTAATAACCATTATTGTTGCAGATCTTCTGAACACAAAATAAATGTCTTATCATGTGAAGTAAATCTTAAAGTTTCAAGTGCCAGAACTATGGTGAGAAAATGGTGTGTATGTAATACTGCACTTGTAATTAGTGTAAGCCTGTTTGTGTGTAACATTGGATAGTTGTATGTGTGAAACATGATTTGTAAACTGTAAAAAATATTTTGTACATA